GGGGGGGGGGGGGGAGGAAAGCTGTAAGGGAGCTTGAGGCCGCCATCGCGGGGGCCAAGTCCAGGGCCTGAGCGGAATTTATCGCCACTCTGGACCAGGACCCGTGGGGGCGCCCCTACAAAATGGTCGTAAACAAATTGCAACCATGGGCACCCCCTGTTAGTCCATGGAACCTCGGGCTCTTGAGGAAGCGGTCAGCACCTTGTTCCCTTAGGGAGACGGATCGCCCCTTCTTGTCGACGTCCCAGAAGGGGACGTCGACTGGACGGAAGAGCTCGAAGTCTCCCGTCTAGAATTCGCGATGGCCGGGAAGCGGTTGGGGGCAACAAAGAAAGCCTCGAGCACTGGCCCTCGCGAACTCGGAGGACCTGTCTGCGTCACTGAGGCACTTCTTCTCGAGGTACCTCGAGCGGGAGATATTCCTCCGAGCTTGGAAGAGGGCGAGGGTAATCCCCAAGACGAGCGAAGTAGCGGACAGCCCTTCGGTCTATAGGCCGATATGCCTGCTGAACGAAGTGGGAAAGATGCTAGAACGCATCATAGCCAACCGTCTCTTTCAGCATTGTCCCTGAAGACTCTCGACCTCCACGACGCCCAGTACGGTTTACGTACACAGCGCTCCACCACGGGCGAGCATGCGCGTCCGTGGTGTCGCCAAGGGCGTTGTGAGGGACCGGGGAGGGGTGTTGCTGACGGTGTAATTTGACATCGTCAATGCGTTTGATACCCTGCCCTGGGAAGCGGTGAGGGGAAAGGGAACTGGAGTACCTTTTTTTTTTTTTTTTTTTTTTAAGCCAGGGGAAATGCTTTACGCATACCCACGGTCTCCGGGGGGAGACCGCGGGTTATGTGGGGCTCCTCCCCCGCCGAGTTACTCGGCGGGGGCCCTACCCACTAAAACCCCTGGCGGGTCCGTCCTCAGCGGTCATCAGGGGGCCCGCGGGGACCACTTGCGTATTACTTCCGCGGGCCCCCCTCCGCGGTCCGAACTGGAGTACCACGGGGTCCCTCTCTACCTGCGCAAGGTAATTTAGGACTACTTCAGGGACCGGGACCTCACCAAAGGTAAAACCAAAGGTGAGATCTCCGACCGGAGGACTGCCCATGCCGGTATCCCACAAAAGTCGCGTTAGAACCGCTCCTGTGGGAGATTGTCTATGATGTGCTTCGCACACTGCTGCCTCCCAGCGCACAAGTCGTCTGCTACGCAGACTACACGTTAGTGCTTGCCGTCGGGGACGACTGGGGAGAGGCCCTCGCCCTCGGTGAGATCGCAGTGGTCTGCGTTGTCCGATCCATCGGGCGGCTGGGACTTAGGGTGGCGATCTATTTCCACGATGGGAAAAATGGGGCGTCCCCCGCCGGCCAACATCCTGGTGGATGGAACCCAGATTAAATACCTGGGCTTCCATCTGCTGGATAGCAAATGCAGTTTCGCCGCCCACATAGAGAAGATGGTTTACAAGGTGGGCAATGCCCTCGCGGGACTCATGTAGAAACTTGGAGGTACGCGATAGAAAATCTGCTGCCTCTATACCAACATAATGGCATCGGTGGCCCTATATGCGGCGCCGGTCTTCGCCAGCGCCCTGCAGGACTCCGGATGCAATAAACGGCTGCTTCCTGCAGCCATGCGGCCAGTAATCCTACGGGCCACCAGATGCTACTGCACGTATCGTATGAGGCGGCGCCGGTCCTGGCCAGACTCCCTTCTCTGGACTTCCTCGCTGAACAGTACGAGTTTACGTACTCATACCTGGCGAGGCTCTGGAGAGAGGGGAGGAAAATGACGACCAGAATCAAAGTGACGGCGAGCCTTAGAGCGAAGTCCCGGACTATGGGCCGAGTACCTATCGGCCCACAGACTATTCGGGGTTCGTACTGTAGAGACCATCCAGCCCTGCCTGTCCGAATGGGCAGCCAGGCGAGGAAAGGGTTTAACCTTTTGGCTGGCGCCGATGCTCACCGGGCATGGTTGCTTCGGGGAGTACCTATGCTGAATCGGACGGGATGTCACGGCGCAGTATCACTACAACAGCGACCGGGCGCAGCACATGCTGGCAGAATAGCCCTGATCGTGCCCTAGTCCTCAGGCTCGGGGGAGATCTCTCTCTCTCTCTGTCATCTAGAAGATGGTGGGGGGAAAAGAGGAGTTTAGGGCCGTGACCTTCTTCTGCGAGGAGGTTCTCCAGAAGGTGGCCGCGGAGCGGGTCCGCCGGGGACAGGCTACCCCCGAGGGAAACACATCCACTCCCGGAAGCGGGGGTAGAGGGCGAGCGAGACGGCGCTCGTCTCAAAGAAGGAGGACGGAGTCGCGGGCGATGACGGGGGGAATAACCACCTTTCTAGGGTCGACCCGAATCCTCCCTTTCGTCGACCCCTTAACGGGAATAACCGGAGGTGAACCCGAGTGATGACACCACCAGAGAAGCCGGGACCCCCCGCCCTTTTCAGGGCGAGAAACCCGGATCAGGGGAAGGGTTTACCCGCGCGGCGACTTCTAAACACGGAGTCGCTGCGTGGGAAGTTGGAACCTCTCCGTCCTTATAAGAGCGGAGGACCCAATAGACAGACTGGGAGATGAATCCGTTCTGGAAAACGGATCATTCCCCCTCCCCCGCCTCCTTAGATTTTGGTAGGCGAGGGGAAGCGGAGCGAGTGCCCCCTGCTGCCCTATTCAGCAGGGAGGCGGAGTACAACCTGGGCGGTAAGACATAATGCCACCCAGGAAACCGGGACCACCTGTAATCAAATGCGGGGAACCCGGCACGGAAGAGGGAACCCACATAATCCGCGGACCAGGGCCCCCGCCCCCAGGGAATCACAGGTAGGCATAAAACATTTCCCCTGCTTCATAAAAAAAAAAGTGTGTGTTTGCGTGTATGCATGTGTGTGTGTGTATGTGTGCATACATACATATTTGATAAAATATTGGTGTGAATTATTCTTTCGACTTCCGATGGTTTTATTCGCATAGGAGCCGCGGTATTGTTTCAGTGTAAAGCACAGCGTGATATAAAAGACGGATGGTAGCATGTATGCCTTTACGGACGAAAGCCTGTTAGAAAACACCGGGCGTGATGAGTGAGGCGTCGCAAACTCGCCACAAGCCGCGAATACACTTTGAATCTTCGAATATTTCCGGCAGCGCCAAGTGAATTCATTGCCAGGCGGTTTGACAGCCGTAAAGATCGAGCTCAGATACAGCCGAAGAATCCAGCTCAGACGAAAATATTCGACGGAGACTGCAAACTCTACCCTCGACATCCCGATCTGTTGGTAGCGGTTGAAACGACTTTCCGAAATAATTACAGCTTTGGCTCGGAGACACTTGGCTGTCAGCTCGAATCGTACTGTGTCAATGGGATCGAGCATATCCCGATTTATACTTGATCGATCTAACGGACGGTCTTGTTTTACTGTCACGTACAGTCTGTCAAGTAAGAACGTAGTCGGACTAATTTATAAAAAAATTATTAAACAAGATTTTCACATACATATATGCATTGTACGTGATGAAAAGAAAGATGCAATTTTGTTAATAATGCGTCCAGTCACAATCGGCGTCGATAAATGCCTGGCATCTCCGAGACAGGATTTCAACCAAATTGACGGCGTATTCTAGCGGCAAGGACCTACAAATCCGACAAATCTCGCGAGATAATTGTTGTAAAGTGTACGTGCGTTTTCCACGAAGCTTGTACTTTATGTATGCCCACATTTTCAATAGAATTAGCATCGGGCGACTGTGACGGCCAATCCAGTGTAACGTTGCCAGATTGCTTCTTCTATTTGGTACAGAGCTTGCTGCGATATTTGGGATCGTTGTCCTCCTGCAGAATCCAGTCCTCATTTTTGTCGATGAACCAACGTTTAACAGACGGTAACAAAGCTTTTTTGTAAATTCTCACCATTTTCTCGACATTCATTATAGGTAAACAGGTACAAAGTGCCGAATCCCTGCTCTAAGAAGCAGCCCCAAAGATGAACTCTTACTCTGTGTTTAATGAGTCGCTAGACAAGCCTATTGGTAGGGGTTGACCAGGCTCGCGTGAGGATATAACGTGCCCTTACAAAACATTCGTCGGTAAAAATTACATTGCTAAAATCTCGATCAATGTTCTCGCGCGCCCAAACGAATTGCTTCTTCACACATTTTTTAGTCAACAGAGGTTTCTTTATTATGTTGCGCCATTTCATGTTCTGAGCTAGGAGACAGGTTCGAATAGTTTCGTGCGATAAATCTAAACCTTTCTGCTTCAATTTTGTTTGTCCTTGACGCAGCGTTAAGCCAGGATTCCGTGAAAACATATTTCTTATTTGTTTTTCGCTTTTCTTATCCACTTTGCTCATGTTCCGGTAAATCATCAACATTATATCGATGCATTCACTTCTGTACGAATGCTTCCAATTTTTTTCATTTAGCAGCCGCTGATTGCAACATTTTCGAATCTTTCGGGGGAATGCAAAAGAACACAGCCTCATAGCGTGACGCGTATTTAGCACTCATGACGTTCAACGTGTTTCTTTTATAAAACGTCAATGACAATTAAATTTTTCTTAATAGTGTATCAAGGAGAGATGTTCCCTCTATCAACTCACGAAAGATTTAGGGCGATATCTTTTACCAACTATACGTAAGGCCGACCACGCTCTTACTTGACAGACTATATGTCGCGAGTAACGTAGAGTGTATGATTATTTATGATTTAGGTTGGCACTAAGTACCGTTTTGTGATTCGACGTGTGTTTTGTCAAGTCAGTTAGTAGTGATATTGTTGCATCGTTACAAGTTTTGGTTAAATAAAATATTTATATAAAGTATACACAAGTCAAATGTATTTCAAGTATACACAAAGTCAAATGTATTTCTTAAATTCGTTGAAAAGAGTATTTAGATTATGTTTTATATTTTTATATAATTTCTTATTATTCTTAGAAAACGTGTGTTAAAATATGAGAAAAAACATAGATTGTATACAATAAATCGTTATCAACTTTTTTGTCTATAAAATATGAAGTTTGATAAAAAAATTCTTAGTTATGTTCTTGACACCAATTATATGCATTATCAAATAGTCGCTGCCATGGTGAGACTTCAAAGTTCCATTCTGTTGGTTTCCAAGGCCATTGCCACATTTTCGTACATCTTTCCGGATGCGGCATCATCGCTAAATGTCGACCATCCTTAGAGCAAACAGCGGCGATGCCATTTACACTACCATTAGGATTCATCGGATACCGACAAGTTATATTAGCATAGTCATCAGTGTACCTATGAAAGAGATATAGATTAGATAATATAAATTATAATATATAAAATTCCACTACTAAATAGAGATGTATATGTGGCATGCATGCATATGTGTGTACGTGTACGTTACGTGCATATGTGTGTACAGAATGTCTAACAATTCAAAGCAAAACATTCTTATGCAGGTAAAACAATTAAAACTCATATAGCATGTCTCAAAGACATCTTTAAGATTATTATTGACGTCTTAAAGAAAATACGTCTTTATGAAAATACGTCTGTTATAAAATATTTTTTAAGCTTGCGTACATTACTGCATTGATTATACCGAACCACTATACCGAATATATTTACTCATATATTGCTATAGCGACTTATATAACAATATCTTACAAGGAAATGCATAGAATCGTCCATCTTAGATACGGATGAGCTTGAAATATGTTGTAATGTAGACTAAAATAAAGGACACGTATTTTTTTATACGTGCGCAATCGCATTTTTAGGGGATAAAACACCCCTTTGAAAGAAAATCGGCATTTTTCTTTCGGAGCATGCACCGTCAAAAGTATGGGATAGAAAAAATTCTTTAAACCAAAATTGAATTGTTTGAAGAGTACTTTCAGTTAAAAAAATATTAAAATGTTAAACATACTCCCACCACTCACAAATTTTTTTTATAATTTAAAAATTTCGTTTTTACCAAATGAAAAGATTTATTATTCCGAAATCAAATGGCTTTATGATATGATAAAGCCATTTTCCGACATACGGATTTTTTAAAAAATAGGTAGGAACACGTTCTCTTCAAACTTCCTTATAGTAAGAGATTAGAAGATAGTACTGATATGCAGAATATGTAATCATAAAACATTTCAATATATAACAACAACAATAAAATTAATTATTTTATGCACGACAATAGTCATATATTTCCACACTTTGTTTTTAAAAATATATATACACATTTTGAAACTGAAATTTTATTTATAAAAAGTTTGTCAATTTTTGTAGTACGTAATTGTAATTATTGTTGATGTAATTACTACGACGGAAACGCTACACGGAGTTGCAAGGTCGAAGTTGCAAGGTCGGAGTTGTAAGATCACGTTTATTAATGCAAAGATACCACAGATTACACATACTAAAAACATCGCATTGATGAAATCATGCGTCGCATAATTGTATGTATGATGTTGCTCTTAACTGCAAATATGTTATATAACTATATACATATATCATCAACCGTGAAGCCCAATATAACGATTCGTCATCATATTTATTTCCGTCTTATCTTATTTCCATTCTGTTTACTGTCAGTTTAGTCATATATCTAATGACAGTTTAATGAGAAGTTACGTCGTAGTTAGATTTGTTATGTAAAATGTGTATCCAAAGTGCAGGAAAACATGTCGTTTATGGAATATTCACATTATCAGCGTTTATGGAATAGTGAATAAACAGCTCCTCATACAGCACAGAAGCTTGCAGCAACATTGTTACAACGTTGCAAGATTGCATATTGCAATGCAATGTTGCAGAGACATTGCAGTGACATTAATTTGCAATATTACTTAGCAATATTGCAGCAATATTTCAAAATATAAAAAATATTACGAATATAATATAATATTGTTGTACTTATTTACTAGTTATTTTTGCTACTTTTATTTCAAATTCAATAATGTTTCAGCAATAGTGCTTATAGAATAGTACTTAGAATAGTATTTGTTAGTGGCAGTCATTAATACTAGAATTTGTCTTATTACATGTTTTTTATACTTATACCGTTTTTTCGGAGAAAACACTTTCTTTAGATTTAATATTCGTACTTATTTAATTTTGTCGTTTTTTTTGTTTCATTAAAATATATTTTAAACAAAATATCATTTTTTAAAGTAATAAAAATAAAAACTTTTATTTCGTTCAAGTAAACCATGTCATTTGACGAAACAACACTATTGTTTTAAATAGTATTTTTTAAAGGTTTCTTTCAAAAAATTTAGTAATTGAGTTTGTTTAATTTGGAGTTTCTTTGATTTTTTATTTATTTTTTTGTTTGGATTAATCATTATAACGACACTCATATAATTTAATAATTTTTTTGAAATATCTGTTCCAGATGCATAGTTTTTTCAAACTCACCAACGGCGCCGAAGTATCTGCTTTTTGAGGCGCGAAATTCACAGAGCTTTTTTGGCAAAAAAAGAAAGAAATGTGAATAAAATTTTTGTGTACACTTCAAAAATAACCAAATAAAGATATGTTTTTTATTTTTCATACAAATATTTTTTTCATAGGGTAAAAAATCCCCGAGAATCGTTAATTTTTTAGCGCGTCACAGTGGAATGATCCCTAATGGCTCCTGCACACAGGACGCGGTAATGCTTGCCGCGCGACAGAAGTCCGCGCGACAGCCAATCAATATGTTGTTTTTCCGTAAGAGCTAGAAGGTTATTACGGAAAGCAGCATATTGATTGGCTGTCGCGTGAATTTCCGCCGTGCGGCAAGCATTACCGCGTCCTGTGTGCAGGAGCCATTAAGGTAAGAGGCGATTCAATCCGATCAACGTAGTAACGCTTCTGTACGCAGTATTTATATCTTTAAATTTCCCTGAAACTCCTATTACAAGTGAAGAAATAGAAGTAAAAGAAAAAATAGAATCCATGTTACAAGAAATTTATGAAGACAAATATGAAATAGTAGAAGAGGGATCTCTTAATTTCCAAAATTCATTCGACATCCCAGTAAACGTTAAATATTCCTGGAATATTCCGTTTTTATTCCAGAAGTTCCGTATATACCGGAATATTAAAGAAATGTTCACAGAATGTTCAAATAATTGTGGAATATTCAAAATATTCTATGAATTCTATTTATATATACAATAAGAAATATTCAAGCCAAATAGCACAGAGATGAATAAAAGTTCATAGAGAATTTTAAAGAACATCTAAAGAATTAAAAAAATAAATATCCGAAGAATTACCCGAGTTTAATTTATTCTAAAGTATTCCTCAAAAATTTATTATAATGAATATTTTATAAATCATTGCTGAGATATTCTGAGAATTCGCGAGAAATTACTATTATTAGCTAATTTCATTTACTATATGGTATGGTTGCATTAGGCAGATATCCCTTATAATAAACGTTGATTTATACATTTACATATAAATTTAATTAATTAAATTAAGTTAAATTAAATTTTATATGGTAGGTTGGATTTTTTCTCTTTTCTTTAATTGTGCTCTTTTATAATCGTTCGAATTTTATAATCTGTTATGACTTTGTTTATTTAATAATAGCAATAAAAAAATGTTTACTATAAAAATTTTAAGACCGAAATGGAATGTACGTAGACCTCACCTCACTAATTAAGGTTTAAACTAACAATAAAAGTACAAAAAATATTTTTAATTAGAAATATAAATTATTTATTTATTTTTAAATAGATTTAATTTTTATTAAAATTAAATCGTATTATAAAAAAATATTACTGTGTTAATTGCAAAATATAAGACGTTTATATCGAACGAAGAAGTAGTGTAGTATCTAAACCAATAGGCTTATAATCCAAAGGTACTTCAGGTCCAAGATCAAATCCCAGTGTTAGTGAGAATTTTTAAATGTGATATAACATTTGGAATCAAATAATCTTAAGTTTCAAGTAAAATCAGCAAACGCTGACTAATTTTTTATTTCAATTCACCCATATTTTTAAAAAAAGTGAAACTTTTTGCGCTTATTTGTATATTCTATGAAAATTTTGGAATATTTTGGAATATTCTTGGAATATTAATTTTGGATTTTAGGAACATTTTATAAATATTCCAGGAATATCTAGCATTTACTGGGATATCAGAAGCGAAAGCAGTGATAAAAACTTTGCTCCGCGAGCAACATGCATCATGACGGAGGAGGATACGCACACACTCACGCGACTGTGAGGTTCATGGACAGTTGCGTGAGTGGTGCGTATCCCCTCCCGTGCTGCTCGCGGAGCAAAGTTTCTATCACTGAGCAGAAGTAGTAAATGAAGAAGAAGAATATACAGGATATAACATAAAGAAAATGATATGTGTCAACGATTAAACTCCAATAGAATATAAAAGAAGGGCAGTGGGGTTTTGGATTATTAATGAAGATAAGAAAAGATCACTGCAGAGCGTTAAATATAGATTCCGTAAAGTGACATTAATACGATAACTGCGACGATGGGAAGAACAAGTGCACGCAGAACCATATATAAACCTGAGCGTACCTAAGCGCGCGTACTTTAGCCAGTATAATTGGTCAATTTTAATCGTTTATAATTTAAAAAGTATTATAGCCTTGCCATTTTTACACTAAGATTTTTTTTCAAATTACCTCAGGAATCCGCCCTTAAGGCGATGCTGTTAGGCTCGTTTTCGTAGAATACTCTTTTCTTCTAATTGAATGCATAAAACTGCAAATGCTTTTACAGCGTGAAAGTATAAGCGATAATGAATGCCACATACTAAAAAGTTGCATCAAAATCAACAAAAAATTTTGTATTTACTATTGAAAATGCGATGCAAGTGTCATATTTAGTTTCATGTGACAAATTTAGAGCTCATACGCTTCAAATACATAGTATGCGGCATAGAGAAGACTTTCAGGAACATTATGAAGACATCGTAAGTAAATTTTAATAGATAATTTAAATAAAAAGAGAATTCCAGTAATAAGCAATATGTGTGCTAGCGTTTAATGGTTACGTGGTAAAGAAGACTTGATTTTTAGTTCACGCATGTCCTGGAAGAAAGCGCTACATCTTGAGCTAGTTATATATATATATATATATATATATATATATATATATATACATGTATATATATGTATATATATATACGGAACGAAGACAATCGTCAAAATGTCACATGTGATAAGCGTGAACATGTTCGCGCTACTGTTGCGCCGCAGTATTTTTTCATATATCGTTTCTTCACAGATGTTATGCAAGTATGTGTGCTACGTTGTCATTTCAATTTTCTTA